ACTACTACTACTACTACTACTACTACTACTACTACTACTAAGACGTATAGGCGTGCCGCCTCCAGTCACCAAGGCGTGCACATTCAGTATGTTGGCTGCATCGTTGTATTGCTCCCCTTCACGTCGCAAGTGCCTCATGAATCCTTCCCCCCCCCACCCCACCCACCCCAGAGCACCCCCAAACGGCGGAGTGAGGAGGAGGGGTGGTTCCCCCGTCGGCGCCCGTCTCGTTTTCCTCCTGTTCCGTTTCATCCTCATGGTCCCTCCTCCCCCTCATGGGGGGGCATCCTCCTCATCTTCACTCTCTTCGTTCCCTGCTCCTCAACCTCCTCGGTCCTCCTCCCTCCCTTCCTCCTCCTCATCTTACTCCTCCTCCTCCTCCACCTGCGCCTCAGCCGTTCTGCGCCGAGCCGCCTTTGCGCCTGCAGAGAGGCGGGACGGTGCTGGAGAGCGCCAACTTCAGAGTGGCACTGCGCTCTCGAGCCTTTTCATGGCCCCAAGCTCCAAGTCGCGGGATGGAGGCTGGGCTTGCAGCGGATGCAAAGCTCGGAATGGGGACAACTACGATTTCTGCTGGAAGTGCTGGAAGGTTCGTGACTCCGCGAAGACGGCGAACCACGGTGCGGTCAGTTCCCAGGACGACGCAGAGGCCGAGGATGCCACCAAAGCAAAGCTCAAGAAGTTACGGGCACACCTGGCAGAACTTCGACGGCAGGCGGGGGACCCAGACTTGGCCAAGCACGTCCAGGGAAACATCGACGTCGTGCAGAAAGAAGTTGATGACTTGCAGGCAGCTGTCGACAGCGGCAGCGACATCCCACGTTGCTTCTCGGAGTGCAAGTTGGTCCGAGAGAGGAACAAAACGCAGGCGCAGCGTGAGCGCACACAGGAGCGGGTCGAGAAGCTGGAGCAGGAGATCAAGCAGGCCCAGGAGAAGCTTGACAGGGAGAAAGCCCTCTTGGCCAGACAAGATGAGAAATTGCAAAAGCAGAGTGCCCGTATCGAAGAGCTCAGCGTGCCCAAGCCGGGCAAGGGCTGGAGAGCGGCCGCGTCGTTCCTGGAGCAAGCCAAGAAGTGCCTGCGCGACCAGGAGACGGACACCAAGATCGCCGAAGCCCTCCGCCACGCGCAGCAGCAGCACACCGCAGAGGAGAAGCGAGCTGCTGCGGCCGCAGCAGCAGCAGCCGCCAAGGCCAAGAAGGAGGCCGACGCCGCAGCGCGGGAGGCCGCCCACGACAAGCAGCAGAGGAACAAGCGCAGAGCCGAGGAGGAGATCAAGCAGGAGCTGGTCTCCTTCCCGCAGAACGCCGACGCGACGCAGATCACAAAGATCATGCAGGATGCGGGCTGCACAGCCGAGCAGATCGAGCGCCATCAGCCTCACCTTCTGCCTCTGCTTGCTGGCATGCAGCCTGACACCACGCTCACCATCGGCAAGAGCACGTGGACGGCCCCGCCTTCTCCCTGACGAACAGCAGGGGCAGGGGTTCTTCACCATCAATGCGAACTCCATCGGCACGCTGGAGCGGACTATGCGCTCCATCAGGTACACGCACAAGTACCCCATCATCATGGCGCAGGAGCTGCAGGCAAACGAGCACAGCATCTCCTGCTTCACGCAGCGCATGCAGAAGGAGGGCTGGAGGCTGGGCACTGCGCCGAGCGTCCGCACCGCACGGGGGGGCTGGAGCGCAGGGGTGCTCCTGGCGACTGTGCGGCCAAACAACATGAGCTACGCCAGGGGGCTCGACACGCGGGACATCTCGCCCGGTGAGTCCAAGGGCCACCTCGCGATTGGCTGGGTCCGCGCCCGAGGCAAGGACCTCGGCAAGGAGGGCATCACCATAGGCACGGCCTACCTCTGGGTCAGCGAGGGCATGACGGACCGCAACAGGGCCACCCTACGGAACTTCACTACGGCCGCGGCAGCGGCGGGGAAGCATTGGATCCTGGGCGGTGACTTCAACATAGATCCAGCAGAGCTACAGCACACAGGGGTGGTCAACAGGATGGACGGGGTCATCGTGTTCGACACCTCGCGCGGCTCGTGCGCCACTCTGGGCGAGGCACGGCACCGCGACTACTTCATCATGTCCAAGACGCTCCTGGATGGCCCGCTCCACGTGGCCGTGCAGGATCAGTACAACACGGCGCCGCACTCACCTGTGCTCCTGCGAGTCCCTCGCCTACGGGAAGAGGCACGCTGGGCACGGGTACTACGGCGACAACGGCGATGGCCACTGCAGCTGCCCACAGGCTGCGTGGCGGGGCCGACCTCGCGGCCGCGACTCCTGGAGCACCGCAGGCATACTCAGGACGATGTGGACCGCTACTGGGGCAACTTGGCCAACACGTACGAGGAGCACCTGAACAAGTACCTCAACTACGTCGGCCTGGACTGGCACGGGCGCAAGGGCCACCTGCAGCTGCCCACCTACGCTTGGGAGCAGCTCAAGCCACCCACGGTGCACGAGGCCGCGCGAGAGCAGCAATGGGCAGAGGCAGCTGAGTGGCTGGGCCGCCGCTTGGGACACGTCAGCACAGCAGTGCGAACGCGGAGGAAGAACGGGAAGCAAGAGACGTTGGTCTGGGCTCAGAACAACGCCAAGGGCATCCTAAGGAAGGACATCATCGGGCCGCTCCTCGAGCGGAACCACCCAGCATGGCGCGCCGAGCCCGACCAGGAGCGGGACAACGACGACGCCACGGACGAGCAGGACAACACAGACAACCTGGACGAGTTAAACTACACAGTGCGCCGAGTCGAGGAGGACACGACGAGCCTCCCAGAGAGTACTCCTCGGCGGACCCCCGCTGTCCTCGGCCTCACGGCTTCGCAGGACTGCCCGTTGGTCGGGGCGGAAGCGGCAGGAGAGCGCCGCCGACCGACGGGGCGGGGGCGATACACGGACACCGATTGGGGCAAGTTGGCGAACACAGTCGCCTGGATCGACGCCGAGCACATCACCGAGAGGGGCTTGCACTACGTGGACTGCGCGGCCAAGCTCATGACAGTTGCTAGCCAGCACACGCGGCGGCGAGCACGACAGGAAGTGGCTCGAAACTGGCGACGCTGGGTGACCAAGCACAGCCAGGCGGGGGCGGGAGCGCTGCGCAAGTGGACTAAGCCGCCTGTGCCGCGGGCCCCGATCCAGCCGACAGAGTCCCGCACCCAGCAGGAGCTCACGCACCCGCAGGTGGCAGCGGACACGGCGCTGGAGGGCTGGGAGACGGTCTGGGCGGACAGCTACAACGCCGACGAGCCGTGGTGCCAGGCCCCCAGCGACGACGAGTGGAGCGAGCACAGAGTTCCGCGGATCACCCCGAGGGGCGTCATCGAGGCTTGCGGGCGGTTCCGAGCTGGGACAGCCCTGGAAGAAGCAGACTGGCACCCGCGTCTCTGGAGACATGGTGGGTTTTCAGGTACGGCACGCGTGGTAAGCGCGCCCAACGCGGTGGAGCGAGGAGCGCCGTGGCCCACGTCGCAGGCCACCATCCTCTTCTACCTCACGCCGAAGGCGGCAGGTGGCTGGGCCTTATCCCTGAGCTGGCGCGCGTGTGGGAGAGCATCCGCATCCCCTACGCCAGGCGCTGGGAGGCAGCAAACGAGCGAGCCTACGACTGGGCACGCCGAGGGAGATCGTCGGAACGCGCGGCATGGCTACAGGCACTCTACTATGAGGCCGCGCGGGCTGACGGACACGACTATGCGGTGACCTACTTCGACTTGATCAAGTGCTTCGAGTGGGCCACCCATCGGAAGGTGTGGGAGGCGTCGCAGAGATGGGGCTTCAATCCAATCATCATGCGGACCGTCCTCAAGATCTACAGCACGGCGCGGCGCATCGTCCTGGACGAGTGCTACACCGACGGCAAGGCGCGGCAGCGCGGCATCGTGGCGGGCAGCAGGTACACACCGTTCTGTCTCAAGATGGTGATCATCCTCGAGCTGGACAGGCTGGTGCACCAGTTACCCTGGGCGGACACGCGCCTCTTCTTCGACGACCTCGCCATGGCCACGCACGGCAGGCACGAGTACGTCGACGAGGTCCACCCGCGGCTCATCGAGGCCGTGGCCACCATGTTCGAGACCACGCTGGACATGGCCGTCTCGCGCGGCGCGGAGGGGAAGACGGTCACCTTGGCCTCCTCCACCGCGCTGGGCCAGCACATCCACAAGAGTACCAGGCACCTCGGCGTGAGAGTGGTCAAGCACGAGAAACACCTGGGAGTGACAGTAACAGCATGCAGACGGAGGAGAGCGGCCGCCATCAACAAGCGGGCGCTCAAGTTTGCAGCGAGAAAGGCACGGATGGCAGCCGTGCGCAGAGCAGGAGGAGCGGCACACAAGCTGATTCGACAAGCCAAAGTGCCAGCCCTCCTCTACGGATCCTCAGTCGTCGGCATGGCAGACTCCAAGCTCACCGAGCTCAGGAAGAACGCGGCGGCGGCGATGGAGGGCAACGACAAGGGAAGGTCCACGGCACCCACGCTGCTCAGCGACAGGGCCGACCCAGGCATCCTTGCCAACAGTGGCCCCATCATCGCCTGGTCCACGGCGTGGCAGGAAGCGCTCGAGGACGACCAGCTGGCCGCGCGGCTCCAGAGCGCGTGGCGCACCTGGGTGATGAAGATATACAAGTGCAAGGCCCCCTGGCTCACAGTTCGGGGGCCAGCGGGGGCGTTCGCGGCGACGGTCAGGCGCCTCGGCTGGATGACGCAGGCTTCGCACACAGTTACCATCGACGGGAACGTGCTCGACCTCCGCTACACCATGCTGCAGGGGATCCAGCACCACGTCGCGCGCACCACGGAGAAGCAGCTGCAGGACGAGTGGGTGAGCCAGCACGGCCGCCAGCACGGCATCACCTCCATCTTCCTGGCACAGTTGCAGGCACTACTACGACGACCCCTCCAGGGCCGATGGACGCAGGCCCACCGCACTCGAGTGAGGGGCCTGTTCTGCGGAGGGACGTGGCCGCAGGCGCGGCTACACGCAT